CCCAGAACTCAATGCTCGTTTGTCCTAAGCTTCTGATGATCAAACTTTTTAGTTTTCCTACCTTCAGTCTGTAGTCGTGATGAGACTGGAAATTGAGAATTATTCCCGCCTGTAATTTCTTTCTGAATACCCTTCTTTTGAGTTCTCCTTTGGAGCGAATGACCTAAATCTCCCAGAAAGCTGGCCGCTCATTCTCCTCCACCTCCGATGTGAAGTTAATTCGTTCATCAAGCTGAGTAATAAAGTTGAGGAATTCATTCAAATTTTCCTTACCATGCGACCAAAGTGCAATGTAACCAACAATTTTATTCATATAGAAACAGCACTAAAGTTCGCTAATATTTGTATCTAATTTAACAGTGCTTGCCCTCATATGGACCCAAGGTCAGTAAGAATACCCTGAAGTTGAACTGGGGTATATTCAAAAGCAGAAAATACAGATGAATATCAGTAGACCTAAGTCTTTTCTATGCAGCCTAGCACTCATAATCTTGACGAGTGAAAGTAGAAGCATGCTTTAAAGTCTCGTATGGATTTATTGCGTCCATTTAATCTAGCAATGAAAGATGGTTAAAAGGAAAGAGGAACTTCGTTCTTAAGCTAGATGAGATTAACTTTTTGAGTTAAAAATGAGGTTCCTTACAGTTTAGTCTTCATAATATCCCTCATATAATTAGTTCGGGAGGAAGCTTCGATAGTACCGGAAACCTAAGGCAAGTCACTCTAACGACGAGGGTTAGGGTTACCTAACTTAGATCACTCTGAGGGACCAAGCCCCGGTACTTAAGCATCTCACGCTTATACAAAGATTAAGCTCAACTTTGTTAGTAAGATATTCTTGCTTCTCGCAAGGTGAGCAATAGTTCCGATCTCGCCAAGATTTACTAAACAATCCGATGTGATTCGAGATTGCAACACGTCAGCATTCATTTGCATAGTTTGTATATTTTGTTGCTATAAGGGTGTCAGCAGTTTAATGGAAAATTCTAGCTTGAATTGCAAATACTCTAGCTGCTGCCAAACATGCTAGTACACAATCGAACTAAGTCAATGTAGGGGAATAAAATGGCCACACTAGCAGGAATCGAAATTTCAAGGGGTGATTGTATCTAATGAATACTTATTCGATAACTATTGCCGATAGATTAATAAATAAATGAGAATCACAACCTCGTCATCAGCTGGTAGATCGAGGCGTAAAACTAACTAGTCCGTTCGGGATAACTCACCGGATCCTGGCGCCAAATATAGTAGTCGGCAAATGTGCTGGTTGTATCTGTGATGCCATTTTTAAACCATTCATGCAGGACGCTGGTGGCATACAGAGGCAGGCCGAGCAACAGATGGATAGCCGGAGCTGCGGTGCCGAGAGCACTTTTGGTCGGCACTTTAGAGGCGGTCAAAAGGTCGGAGAGCAGCTTTTATTGAACAGCAAAAAGACAACAAGAAAAAGGTAGCCTTACTGAAGATAAAACTTGATCTAGAAGAGACAGCATACAGTAATCTTGGCCCCCTCATGAAAGCCACAGATCGGTGACAGATGATCCCAAATCTTTGGCAGTGAGACATTCTGGTCGAAAAGGATTAATATGCAACCTAGTCCAAAAATGTAGCTAGTAACAAATGGAAAGAGGATATTATCACAAAGATTGCTAAGGTCCTTCATGAGATCAGATAGTTGAGATTAGGCGCTTGCTACGTCAGTACTTTGGAATGGTTATATAAACCATTGTAAACTGTGAGATAAATGCCGTCAAGAGGGGTGAGGAGTTGAGGCAAACTTCTGCCCGTGGTCCGGGTTAGGGTTAAGCCAAACGGCGACCGACCTTGCCAGAAAATAGCCGTCTTTTCACACGTTTAAAAAGCCTAAAGGCAAGACCACCTGCATAAGTACAGCATACCTTGTCCTCGGCTTGATTCTGTGGATCAATCTTCGCATCGACTTTGAGCCAGTCGCGAATGCCATTCTCATCTTCGACCAGCAGACCAGTCAGTATCACAGCAGAAGCACCGATCTAAGAACAAAAGGTTGAATAGCGATCATATAAGGCCGGCATTTGTACTATTATCGACATTGGCAACAGGGGTGACATTTAGCTTTTGGAAATACCTCACTTTTTAAAAGTTCCAGCAAAAAAGGACAGATGCACATAAGAAAATTTTAGCAATTTTAATTATCTTGACTACAAGTATTTCTCAGCTATAGCACTTGGTAAGTAGACAATGGGCTATGCAAAAAACTGAAAGTGATTTTGGAAGAAATGATATTTCCGAAGCAAAACAGTTTCTGTCGTTTGTTACCACTCCTTTCACTAAATATAATCTTGTAAAGAAACTCTATATTTCTGTGAGGTGTGTTCACTCTATTTCGTTACTGGCAGGTCAATTTTCCCACAATGAAATGAGTAGGCCTTAAGTTTCCATTGAATTTCAAATAACCTTGCTTCTAAAAGGTATTTTCATCCAGGATGGACTGCAGTTTCGACCTCGCCTAGGTCTTATCAGAGCCCAGAGCGGAACTCAAACCATGGCAGTGTAGATTATAGCATCGACAAGTTAACGAATACGCCACATCGCTAAAATTGTCCTTAGGTCGTTGGGCAGATGTAAATTTCAAAGAAAGGCCAGGCATTTTCCTATATCATATTCATTGATGGGATTGTCGAGGAAGTAAAGTTATATTTGTTATGACAATCGACTACACTACTTATTTTTAGTTCATAAGTAGGGTTTCTCATATAACTGATTTACCGGGAAATTGACGCATGGACAATAAATACAATCATAAGAAAGGATGCACGACCACCAACAGCAAAGAGATTACTGAAGATACACAAAGAAGGCAAGCCACTAAGGCTGATAGTCAACAATAGATACGGAGCAACAAACAAATTAACAAAGTTTATATGTTTGAAACTCAAGAAATTAAATGAGGGGCTATCAAGCACGGTGAAACATTCGGATGAATTTTTTTTTAATCAAAAACATGGCACTGGAAGAAACAGACTTATTGGTAGGTTTCGATGTGGAATCCATGTATACAAATATCTCTGGAGAAAATGCGTTAAAGGCCCTGCTGGAAATACTGCACAGAGACGAGGATATCCTGGAATCACAACGGATCTGTAGGAAGTCGTTAACAAGACTAATCAACTTGAAAATAAGGGCAACCTATTTTCCATTCAACATCTATTAACAAATATTTGGACTTCCCATGGGATCGACGCTCTCACCACTTTTGGCAAACGTATAGATGAACAAAATAGAAGAGAACTTCAGGATGGCACCGATTCAATCAGCAGTGCTCATGCGGTACCTGGATGATTAGTTCGCACTTTGGTCACATGGAAGAGAAAAGCTGGAAGAGTTTCCGAAATTTCTAAACCAGATTGATCAAAAAATTCAATTCACGAAGGAAGTAGAAGGTGAGTGGTTACCCTTCCTGGACGTTAAAGTGATTCGCTCTAATGGGACGCTCAAACAGAAATTGCTCAGAAAGGAGACTTATGCTAGGATATTACTCAATTTCCTATCCCATCACAATTACAGACTGAAGATTAGACTAATGAGGAGCATGATCATCCGAAGCCTAAGCTTAACGGATGTAGATTTCTGGGACGAGGAGCTGGACAAATTGACGGGATATTCCTCGGCAATGGCTACCCTAGCGAAGTAATACAAAG